TTGCACATACATCTGTAATCTGTACGTATCTGATTATTACTAGTCATAATCGGTTGCACTTGGATCCTTGGAGCCTGTGTATGTTTATAAAGATATTGGGTAGATGATACTGTTTATCATCTCTACTAATTAGCATGATGTAAATTTCCATGCTTCCTCCTCAAATATAATACATTAAAAAAATTTGTTCATTTTTTCATGTATGTGTACATCACACAGAACATCCCAAACCATTTTATTCAACTATACACCTGTTCCCAGATGGCACCCTCCCATAGCCTCCCTCCCCCAACTAGAGCCCTTGTACTCTGATATCCCTGCTACTGTCTACTGTGTTGTCGGCACCCCCAGCCATTCCCCACTACTTGTCCATCTGGTGAATCTAGTCAGCCTATCTAGAGGTCTTTGTTTTAGGAGGGTCAGCTGTTCCTCATCTAGAAGCAATCAATTGTCAATATTCCTTTAGATAAGATTGGGGCCTGCTGTTCATTTTCCCAGTTCTATCCTGGGTTACTATCTGGGAGTCCCTTTGGCTACCCTGGCCAACAGTTCAAAAGAAGGTGTGTCCTATCTGGCATTGTTGCTTGTTATATAGCCTTTAGCTATGCATATGGACTCTTAAGAAATTATGTTGGCCCCTTTAATATGTGGTTATACTTTCGTTTTGGGTGTTTAAGGCCATACAGTTGGCCCAGATAAACCAACTTATTTTTATTCTTAAGGCTGTTTGAGGATCTGTTCCTCAGGGATCACAAGGGCTTGGGAGGAGCCCCTGGCTCCTTTCTTTTACCAGTTCTGCTTATGTGAAGGTAAGTCAAGGTCCTGCTCAACCGTGGTTGGCTTCGCTTGGAAGCATGGAGGAAATGACTCCTCTGTGTTGACCCTCCTCTTTGTAGACTGGACACTGGCTCAAGTCCAGCTGGTGGGGTCTTCTCAGCCTCCATGATCAAGAGGACAGGTGACCCGCCACAATTACAGGACATTTGGAGAGATGCTTATAGTCCCCTGGAACTAGTAGACATAGGAGGGCAAGGAGCAAAAACTGTCC